TAAAACCAGCCTGGTCGACCAGCTAAAACCAGCCCACTCGCCTAGGCTGGTTTAAGCTGTTTTTTTTTGTGAAATAAACAAAGTTTAAACCCCTATTAGAAGTGATTTCTGCATGATGGCTCCACTTTAATGTAGCAATCGGTCACTATTCTCACCTGCAGGATCATGAACAGGTGCTGGAGTGTTTATTATTTCTCTGAAGTGAGCACAGGAAGTGTCTGTGCTCATTTCCTGTGTGGCAGTGTGGATCACAGGAGGCCAGCTGGTGTTTTCTGTTCTGTTCTGGTCTGATCTGTGTAAGTGACACTTCCTGTTTCCTCTCCTGTGTTTCCTGTCGCAGCGCTTGACCAAACTGCTGGAGACGGCCACTGAGAAACACTGCAGCGAGATGAAGGCGCTCAACAGGTGAGTGTGTGTGTGTGTGTGTAGTCGCGTTAGTATGCTAATGTGTGAGTGAGTGAAGGGAGTGCATTTGTGAGTGTGTGTGTGCGCATGTCTGTGCGATGCTTGTGTGTATGCGTGTGTATGGGGGGTGTGTGCATGTGCTAATGTGCGAGTGTGTATTTGTGTGCGTGTGTGAGTGAGTATGTGTACATGTGTACTTGCAAGTGTGTGTGTATGTTTGTATATGTGTGTGTGTATGTATGTGTGAGTGAGTGTGTCAGTGAGTGTGTGTGTGCAAGTGTGTGCACGCGTGTGTGTATGTGTCTGTGCACATATGTGTGTGCGTATGTATGTGCGAGTGTGTAAATGAGTGTGTGTGGGTGCATGCGTGCGTGCACGTGTGTGTTGACATTTGAACTGAGACATATAATGTAAGAAAGCCGCAGTAGAGATGAATCACTGAGCGCTGCGAGCTGTTGAGTGTTTCAATGCATCAGAATGTGTGTGTGTGTGTGTGTGTGTGTGTGTGTGTGTGTGTGTGTGTGTGTTTACATGTCTAACAGATGCAGGGTCGTAACCTTTTCTACGTGGAATTGATCATTATTCTGCTAATTACTATTGTTTTGAGGGTGTAAATCAGTGCTGTGAGAGGGAAGGTTTTAGCTGCTCAACCCATTAACATTACTTACCCGGCGCTTTACAGAAGACTGTAGAGCAGAATTAATCAATCCAAGTCACTACAGTCTACATTATTAGAGGGGTTTATGTTTTTTTATTTTTAATTCTGATAATATTTTGTTTCCTTTCTTTTTCAGTGAGCCCAAAAAGAAGGACAAGTAAGATTTTTATGTTTCTGAAAAGTTGTTAAAACTGTACCAGGTTTGCATTTTTTGCATGTACAATTTAATTATTATTATTATTATTATTATTATTATTATTATTATTATAACTGGTATTATTATTATTATTATTATTATTATTATTTAATATTATAATTATTTATTATTATTATTATTATTATTATTATTTAGTATTGTTGTTATTATTTATTGTTATTATTAGTATTATTAAGTATTATTAGTACTATTTATTATTTTATTTAGTATTATCATTGTCGTTTTTGTTATTTTTATTATTGTTATTATTAGTTGTAGTTGTAGTATTATTAGTATTAGTATTATTAATTTTATTATTATTTACTATCATTGTATTATTATTATTATTATTGTGTATCATGCATTATTTTTTATTGTTATTGTATTATTTATTATTATTATAATGTATTATTTATTATTATTATTATTATTATCATCATCATCATTATTATTATTATTATTATTATTATTATTTATTATTTTTATTTAGTATTATTGTTATTTTTGTTATTGTTAATATTATTATTATTAGTAGTATTAGTAGTATTAGTATTATTAATTCTATTAATATTTATTATTGTTTTTATGACTATTATTTTTATTCATTATTATTATTATTATTTATTTATTATTACTATTATTATTATTATTATTATTATTATTATTATTATTATGGGGCAACACAGTGGTACAGTAGGTAGTGTTGTCGCCTCACAGCAAGAAGGACTCTGGTTCGAGCCTAGGCTAGGTCAGTTGGCATTTCTGTGTGGAGTTTGCATGTTCTCTCCGCGTTCACGTGGGTTTCCTCCGGGTGCTCCGGTTTCCCCCACAG